AAGAAGGCAGATGAGAGAGGAGCCAATGACCAGACCACTGGCCTGACCAGCCAACACTTCCTGCTCCAGCAGCTACGCAAGCCCCAAACCCTTCCCCTTTTGTTTCCCCTTTTTACAAAATCTCAGAGTTCCTCTCAGTCCCTCGAAGATGGACTTGGGGTCAACGGACCCTGTATCTGCCCATCTCAACGGCCCCACGCTGATTGCGTCTCTTTTCTGGTTTTCGCCTTATCTCTGATTGTCATATTACAGTGGATGAGGAAATCCTGTCAGCTAAGACTGCCAGAGCCAGGGCTTTTGCTTTTGTTGAACAAGTAGAAACAAGTATCTGTTTCTTTTTATGGACCACAGACTCCTATCACTAAGTTTTCCTTTTTAGTCCAGGTCTCAGGTAGCCCAAGATGGCCTCACCCTGTAGCCACAGTTGACTTGAACTTCTGTTCTTCCTGACTCTACCTCCCATGGGCAGGAATTACAGGTGTGTGGCACTGTTGGAGACAAGTCCTAAGAAACTTCTGACCTTTTCTCATTCCCCCCACCCTGCTGCACCTGGCTGACCAACATCCTGCTTGACAGTTGCAGAAAGGTGCTAACTGTACCATGACTTCCCGAGATAACTGCAAAGTGTTCCGGGTCCCGGGCCGAGAAGATTTTGTAACTTCCACCCTGCCCCTCCCTGAGTCCATAAACTCTAGAGTAAGACTTTCCAACCTGCCCTCCCTGAGTTTAGAAACTCTAGAGTGAGACTTTCCAACCTACCCCTCCCTGAGTGTTCTACACTGTGCTCCTCCCTCGCCCCGCCCCTATCTAAGGTTGGCCTTAAAAGCCTGCTCCGGTTCAATAAAATTTGACTCTTGACAAGTGCACATTTGCTTGAGTCCGTTCTTCTCTCTCGCCCGTTTTTCTTTCAGGCATGGTCCTCTTTGGAGACCCCACGAATTACTAGTCCCGCAGGCGGGTACATGGCACCATGACTAGGTTCCGCACTGCTAGGGAGTCCACATTGGGCCCTCTGCACTAACTAAGCTATCCCGAACCCACAAGGTGTAAGACTTACATCATTTCATATTTAAAAATTAAAATATGCACAGCAAACAGTAAAATATAGAGCACAAAAATGTGAGAAAAACAAACAATCCTAATTATAGTCTAAAACACTCAACTCTTACTTTATAATGAAATTGACACATTAGAGACGCAAACTTTTCTTATGGAAATTTCAGCCACAGGGAAAATTAAGAGAGCACAGTAAGATGGCGCCTTGCCTGTACCTGTTAGCCATGAACAGTAACAACACACAGCAAACGGGTTTCAACTCAAGTTGGAACTGCTTCCTTCCCCACTACCTACATAACTGGGTAACAGTAAAGAAAATGGTGGCCAGACAGCGGAGGGAGAGGGGAACAGAAAGTGAGAAGTGGACACAGATAAAGCTCAAGGGCAGAATCCTGCAAGTACCATGTGAGTCCTGAGGGCCTTCTTGCTGAGATCCCTGCGCACAGGATCTGAGACCTGTTTCTAAGCCAACGGATCTCAGCAAGGGTGATACCACAGGTTACATTGTGTTATAAAGTTCTATTTTCATCAACTAAAGAGACAGAGGTTTCTTCTTACTGACTTTTAAAGAAATAAGTTGCCAAAGTCTTCCTTGCCATATAGCAAGGAACTACAGCTGGCCTGAAGGGGCTCAGACCCTGGCAAGGGGCAGCTAGGAAGAAGGCCTGCTTTTTCCTACAGCCTTAAGGAGATCCGTTCTGATAACAAGCCTTAAGGAGAGAAGAGACAGACTTCCCAGATGACGCCATAGCTGCAGACTGATAAACTCCAGGCAGAAAGCCAGCCACACCTCACCAGGCTCGGAACCACAGCAGCGCTGGGGTCAGGGACCCATGCTGTTTGAAGTGACTAAGCATGCGAGGACCCTTTAGAAGGCTCTTTTTGGCCTCCGGGGACAAACACACCGTGGTATACACTCACACTGGCACACAAATGCACAGGAGTAAAAATAAAAACTTTTTATTGTTGTTTTTTTGAGATAGGGTTTCTCTGTGCAGCCTTGGCTGTCTAGACTTGCTTTGTAGACCAGGCTGGCCTCGAACTCACAGAGATCCGCCTGCCTCTGCCTCCTGAGTGCTGGGATTACAGGCCTGTGCCACTGTGCCTGGCTCAAAATAAAAACTCTTAAATAGTGAAAAAGAATACAGAGCTCAGGGGCTGGAGGGATGGCTCAGAGGTTAAGAGCGCTGGTTGTTCTTCCAGAGCTACAACTTCAATTCCCAGTACACACTTGGTGTCTTCTAGCCATCTATAATGAGATCTGGTGCCCTCTTCTGGTGTGTAGGTGTATGTGCAGACAGAACATTGCACACATAATAAATATTTTCAAAAAGAATGCAGAGCTCTACCCAGCCCTAACCTCAGAAAAAGTGGAAAACCCACCGAATCCATATTGAAGTATCATTGATTCAGGCTTCTGCCTCTACTGCTCTGATTCAGGGAACCCCTCCTCAGTCTCTGGTGCTGTACACTCCTCTCTTTTTCTGTGTAATTAACTCTTTTATCCTGTACACCAGTAAGACCCAGCAGCATTTGTCTTTCTGTGCCTGCCTTATTTCACTTAGCCTAATGTCCTCCAGGCTCATCCAAGTTGCTGCTAATAATGGAATTTCTGGTTTATATTCTGATTCAAACAAAACAACTGAAGAAAGTCTATGAGACAATTAGTACACTCTTAACATGGATTAGGTAGCTAACGACCTGCCTTTCTTTTAATTGATTGATTGACTGATTGACTGGCTCATTTTTCAGATTGGGTTTTATAATATAGTTTCAGCTGGCCTGAAACTCACTATGTAGACTGTGCTGGCCTCCACATCACGGACAGCCACCCACCTCTGCCTCCTAGGTGCTGGGATCAAAGGCATGGCCACTATGCTTATTTCTGTTTGTTTGGTTGATTGGTTTTAAAATTGGTTTTATTTGGGATGGGAGAGATGGCTCAGAGGTTAACAACACTGGGTGTTCTTCCAGAGGTCCTGAGTTCAATTTCCAGCAACCACATGGAGGCTCACAACCATCTGTAATGAGATCTGGTGCCCTCTGGGCAGGCAGAACACAGTATATGTAATGACTAATGAATAAATGGTTTTGTTGTTTGAAATGGGTCTCACTTTATAGCTGAGGCTGGTTCACAAGTGGGGAATTTACAAGTGTGAACCATCATGCCTGATGCTAATGACTATTTTTTAAAGACTCCTTAATGAAGGCTGGGGAGATAGCTCAGCGGTTGAAAGCACTGGTTGCTATTCCAGAGGTTCTCGGTTCAATTCCCAGCACCCTCATGGCAGCTCACAGCCATCTGTAATTCTAGTTCTAGAGGATCTGACATCCTCACACAGACATACAAGCAGGCAAAACACCAACAAATATTAAAAATAAGTAAAGCTGGGGGCTGGAGAGATGGCTCAGAGGTTAAGATCACTAGCTGCTCTTCCAAAAGTCCTGAGTTCAATTCCCAGTAACCACATATTGATGGCCCATAACCATCTATAATGAGATCTGGTGCCTTCTTCTGACATGCAGACAGAACACTGTATAAATAAATAAATCTTTTAAAATTAAAAAAAAATAAGTCTTAAAACAGAGATTCCTTAATGAGGATAAAGTTTTGTTGATGAGAACAGAGTTGTTAGTTATTTCCAGAAATATAAATACAAATGATATATTAAGCTTGAATTTGCTTGAAAATAACAGTAGAAAAAGAGACTGTATAGTTAAAACAAGACCAATGCAAGCTGAGCAGGTTGAAGTCAGTGTTGGCGACAATAATACATCACAATATTCTTCCCTTTCATTTTTTAGACAGGGTCTCACTATGTACCCCAGGCTGCCCTGGAATTCACTGGATCCTCCTGCCTCTGCCACGTGCTGAGACTAAGGTTATGCGTCACCACACCTGACATAATATTCTAAGTGAAATTTTCTATAAGAAGCTTTGAAAATAAACCAGGATCCGCCCAGTGCTGTTACCATCCTGGAGGACGGAAGCCTGAGAGATAGACCCTTTCAATTAAGAAAAGAAGGACATCCCGTTTGCCCATCCTGTGTCCCAGCTAGCACAGATACGAGAGAGAAACACAAAGCAGAGCTGGAAAGGACCAGAATCACCCCCATTTCTGACGCCAGCTCCTCAGAAACTTCAAGAGATAATAAACTGAAAAACTAGATAAGAGAGTCCAGGGGCTGATGGGGTACAGCTTGGTGGCACACATCTGACACACCCGAGGCCCCCAAGGGGGAAAAAAGATTCTAGCTACAGGTTTTCCATGGACCTCAATCTATACAATCAACCTCATGGAGACAGGTTCTGAAAGAAGAGAAACCAAATAAAGTTCTCTGAACGCACTTTCACCTCAACCCCCTCCTATACCCAGGAATTTGGGCCCCAGGACCTCTCAGAGCACCCTAAAACCTCATTTCCTCCCTTTCTGCCAGCTACACTTAGCTCACCAAATGTTCATCCACTCACTGTCAAAGGGCACCAGGCTCATGTCAAGAGCACCAGTAATACTGTTATGATATCCCAACAGTCAGCTTGGGCCTGGCCTCGGTCCACAGCGTGCAGCCACCATGCCCCACTGACCACAGGCTTCTTCTGTTCCTTAACTTCCAGGTTTCTCTTCCACCTTAGCAGAAGGCCATCTAAGGCCTCCTACATGACCCTTCAATGCTGGGGGATCTCCAGGTTTGGACCTTGCCCCCCCCCCTCTCTGCCAGTCACCCATTCTGCAGGCTCCAGGGCCACGCCTGTGCAGGCTGCCCAAACTCTGCCTTCCCCTTGCAGATCAGACTGTTCCTGAATATCTGCTCCTCAACCCCTACTAGGGAAGTTCCCCTCTTACATAGCACATACTTACTGAGCAGTTCCTGTCCTCAGGTGACTCATCATCTTTGCCTCAGAACCCAGCCCAGTGACTGGAAACGTGGAGCTATCTTGAATGCTACCTGTCCCTTTTGTCTCCACCAGGATCCTGGTCCTCAGAACCTGGTCCTAGTTCCTGGAAGAGGGTGGATAAATAGTGAAATATATAAATCCACCTAGCTCTTCCTTTCCCACTGGCACTGGCCAGGCTCTGGCTGTTGTAACCACTGTGAGCACACCTATTTCTCTTCTGCAACCTGTCCCCTCAAGTAACAAAACTGTTGAAGGAGGCTTAGGGTTGTTGGGAATGAGCAAATGAAACTTATTCTAAGTACTGCCATTTCCTTTTCAGACTCCATTTAATCATAAGGAGAAACTAAGTTCAAGGTCCCAGGCCCTAGAGGAGCTGGGAACTTCCCAATAGCTGAACAGCTTCTCTTGTAAGGAGACGGTTGTCCGAGTCCAGATGTCTCAGGGACAATTTGTAAGGAGACGGTTGTCTGAGTGCAGCCATCTCAGGGACAACGTGTAAGGAGACAGTTGTGTGAGTCCAGACCTCTCAAGGACAACCTCTCCATCTTGCTGGCCAGGTCAGCTAAGGTCATGTTCACAGGCCCAGGAGCCAACTCCTGTCCTGATTGAGAGAATTCCCCTGTTCAACCCCTTACATTGTAATATGATTGTAATATGATTAAACAATGCTACATTCTACCTTGCTCCCCCTTGCTCTATAGTTTTACCCTTTAAATATGTTGTGAGGTGTCCCTTCAGGGTCGTAGTTCGCTCCCAAGTCTGTTCTATAGCCCTGATCAATCAGTAGACACTTGATAACAGTATCTGCATCGACCAGGTGTTTAAGTTGTGTTGGATTTAAGTGGACCCCAGAACAGGGTGACTGAATATTCTGAGATTCACATCCAACCCATTAGAGACCTCTGCTTCTGGCATTGAAAACCAGCTTGTTTCAATCAACAACCCAGCGGTAGTCGAGTCCACGACTAGACAAAGGCAATCAATCCACCACTAGCTGCCCACCAAAAGCCAAAGCAATCCTCCGACACGCCCAACCCTCACTGAGAAGTTACCAGGCATGCACTGGGTCCAGAACATGTTAATGCCCCCTAAAAACCAGGAACAAAAGTCCGATATGAGGGGACACAAAGCAAAAGACCTCAAATAAGATGCTAAGAGAGAAAAGAGCTGCGTGGTGGTCCAGAGCTATAATCCTGGCCCTCGGAAGGCTGAGAGGGGAAGATTTCCGTGGTTTAAGGCTAGCAGAGCTGTATGCAATGAATTCCAAGGGAGTCTGGGCCACAAAGTGAGAGTTATGTTCCCAAACTTAAAACAAAACATAAAAAGATGATTGATCGATAGACAAACAAATAGAGAGATCCAATGACTTAAAATAGAGTGAAAACTCCTATAACTAAACCAACATGATACCGGTATGTAAATAGATCCGTATGTTGCATTTAATTTAATATAAAAAGAAAGTAGATCCACAGGAAAAATTCATAGAGATGTTTAAATGAATTAGCTGATATTTAAAGTTTCTGTCATAGCATCAAAATAAATTTGGTTGGTCTAGAGAGAAGACGTGTGGGACGAGGGATACGAAAGAGAAACAAAACCTAGATACTTTAAATGCAAAAGAGAGGAGAGGGTGGGGCTAAAAAACAATGAGACGACTCAACACGGTCTGGTGAACCACCACCCGCTGCTTGAAGCTGCCATGCTTGCCAGGAAGCTGCTGTGACAGCCGGGCCACCCTCCCCGCCCACCCTCCCCACCTCGGTTTCAGCATGTTTGTCTCAAAGCCCTCTACAGTCTATGGCTGCCCCCAGACCTAACAGGGAGGAAAAAGAGCAGCAAAAAACACCGGTAAAAGCACAGGAAGAAAAAAAAAAAGGGTAAAAACACTGTGCCCTTGAGAACAGCTTTAAAGGTCAACTATTTCCAACTCTCTTTACTTTTTTGTTGTTTCCTTGAAACAGGATTTCTTTACATAGTCCTGGCTGGCCTGGAACTCACTCTGTAGTCCAGGCTGGCCCACAGAGCTCTACTTGCCTCTGCCTCCCAAGTACTGGGCTTCCAGGCATCAGGCATGCGCCATGACACCAGGCCTGCTTCTGTTGTTGTTGTTTCAGTTATTTATGGGTACTTTTACCTACATATTCGTCTGTGCACCAGGTGTGTGCCTGTGGCCCACAGAGACCAGCAGAGGGTGTGAGATCCCCGGGCACTGGAGTTACACGCAGTTGAGAGACTCCACGGGGGGGGGGGGGGGGATGAGAATCAAATCCAGGTCTTTCTTAAAGATTAGTTTTAAATTTTTATTTTTAATTATGTGTGAGTGCTCATGTGCATGTGTGTGTTTGTGCCTTAAGAAGCCAGAGAGGGCCTGGAGAGATGGCTCAGTGGTTAAGAGCACTGTCTGCTCTTGCAGAGGTCCTGAGTTCAATTCCTAGCAACCACATGGTGGCTCACAACCATCTATAATGTGATCTGGTGCCCTCTTCTGGTGTGCAGTGTACATTCAGGTAGAATACTCCTACATTAAACAAGTAAACAAGTAAATCTTAAAAAATAAAGGGTCCAGAGATATTATCAAGTTCCCTGGAGTTTGAGTTACATACAGGTAGTTAGGAGCTGGAATCTGAACTCTAGAAGGTCTGAACCCTCTCTCCAGCCAAGAGTTACTGCTGTTAATCTTGTGAAATAAAAATGTTTACAGTGGAAAAGGAAAGCCCAACCTTCGGCCACGGGAAGCTCATTCACAGAGAAAGAGCTCAAAATGGGCAACTCTAGCTAACCGCCTCAAGTTCCCTGGTTAGTTTCCCATAGCTCTCTCAAACGCCTGATCTGGTGATATTGCCGATATCTGTTGCTGTTTGTTCTTTTGTTGTTGTTTTTGAGACAGGGTTTCTCTGTGTAGCCCTGAGCTCACTTTGTAAACCAGCTGGCCTCGAACTCAGAGATCTGCCTGCCTCTGCCTCCTGAGTGCCGAAATTAAAGGCAGGAGCCACCACACCCACCCAGTTTGCTATTTGCTCTTTTACATGGAAGCTTCGCCTGAGGAGACTAGGAACCCGCAGCTGACTGCTAACAGGGCTCCCAGACTGCTGGAGCCTGAGCATCCTATTGATGATGATGATGGAGCACTGAGCTTCATTCAATCTGTCTCTCACTTACTCTTTATTCTTTTGCTCTTGGCTTGCTATGTATTTAATAAACTCACTCGTGGGCTGGAGAGATAGCTCAGAGGTTAAGAGCACTGGCTGTTCTACCAAAGGTCCTGAGTTCAACTCCCAGCAACCACATGGTGGCTCACAACCATCTATAATGAGCTCCTGTGCCCCCCTCTTCTGGCATGTAGGTCTACATGTAGGCAGAATGATGTATAAATAATAAATAAATACATCTTTAAAAAAAAAAACCTCACTCATTTAAAACTGAAAGAAGGTACAGTGAGGGCTCAACAAGTAAAGAGGCCAAGGACCCACACAGGTGCAATTCCTGCATGCTGTCCTCTGATCTCCACAAGAGCAACTGGCTTGGGAGGGGAGGAGGGAGGGGACTACAGCTGGGATACAAAGTGATTAAATTATAATAAATAAAAAATAAAGACAATTCAAGAAAAAGCAACTGGCATTCACGCGTGCAGATACACACACACAAATCAATTTTTTAAAACCCTCAGACTATGACTACCTTGATTACTCTCCAGACCATCCTGAGCACAAATTAAGGAAGGTGTCTCTCCCTGTCCCTTCCGACAGGGGAGGAAGGGACAATAATTACCGCATCAATCTCGTTGAGGACCTTCCACTGCTCGTAGGGCACACTCAGCGCCTCCGCTGTCTGGATCGTCCTCTTCATCTGGCTCGTCCAGATCTTCAGATCCCGGATGTTCTGGTCACTGATAAACTGAGCCAGATGCTTGGCGAACTGAAACCCAGCACAGCACACTCAGCCCCACAGGTCCCGGCTGCCTCGGCTGCCTCGCAGGACCCCACAGCACGGGGTCCAGAGTCCGGCCCAACCTCGGGAAATAGGTTTCAAAAAACCACGCTAACTTCCCAATGATGCAGATACCCTCCCCAGGCCCCAAGAGCAACCCCAGATTTGCCAGGGTCCCCCCAAAGGTACCAATGCCCAGACACACGCCTGTGCGCATCATGCACACACTGACCTCCCTGCCCCGGGGAGACAGTCCGGGGTCGCCGCCGATCCGGCCCTTGAGGTTGAGCTCACTCTCCCCGTGCCGGCAGAGGTAGATGGAGCGGGGCGTCACGTGGATGTTCATGAGGTAATAGACGATGCGGCTCTGGATGTGGTCGGCCACTCGGTTCACCACGTAGCTCTGCCCCACGTCCATGATCTTGATGTAGGACAGGTCCCTTGCCAGAGAGAAGGTAGAGAGAGCCCGTGAGGGTGGCCGGGCCCTCGGAAGCACATCGGCAGCCACGGGAACCAGCTGCAAAACCTGCAGCTCTCACCATTGGAGCTGAGATCACAACACACAGGACCGTGGTCAGCCGGTGTGCAAGTGACGGGGTGTGTGTGTGTGTGTGTGTGTGTGTGTGTGTGTGTGTGTGTGTGTGAGACGGCATCACCGCGCCACAATGACACACAGTTAGGCACTCATCAATGCTGCAAAGGTGACATCTAGGGAAGTGGTCTGTCAAATCACGCCATGACCTGCCTGCAGTGTGTGTGCCCAGACCCTTCCTCCCTCTCCCTGTGTTCTGCAGACGGAGGGAGATGGCTTTTCCAAGGCCTGACCTGGTAGTGGCTGGCAGCACTCCACTCCCCAAGGTTCCCCGCGAGTCCCTCTCCCCCAGAACACAGTCCAGGTCATCTGTGCCAAGGAGCTGCTGCCCTCCTCACCAGGCAACCAGTGCTCAGGAAGCACAGAGGGCGGTGCTGGCCACTGCCTCCACTCTGCGCTTGTGTGACGTTTCTGTTTGCAGAGCGCACTCAGGTTGGCAGCACCCCGGAAGCCATCTCTCCAGCAGCTGCTTGTGGTCCTTGGTTCATACGCATTATATGGTCTTATGTAATTATAAACACCCAAACGTATACTTATAGTCCAGCCTTTCCCTTGATGCCGTGCAACCTACACTCCCACATCTTTCCATAATTATGATTTATGGTGACTAAGATTTCACCAAGGTCTCGCTGCTATTTACTTAACTACTGCTGGTTACACTTATGCCAAGAGGCCGGAGCTGGCAAACTCCTGCCAGCAATTCAAAAGCTGCTTGCAGGCTGTTTTCCACAAAGTTTGAGTAGAACACACCCAGGGCCGTTTATTTACACAGTTTCTCTTGCAGTACAATGGCACAGTCAGTGACTGCAGCGGGGACTGTGAACCTTCCAAACCCTAAGCAACCGTTCAGTTCACTAGCTGGCCTTTAGCGGAAGCTGCTGCTGATCCTAGCTCTAGGAGCCTCAGCTGGGCACCCACTTCTGGACCTTAAGGTCCCTGCCACTCAGCCCTCCTGCTTGCTCTTCACTCCTGGGGGGAGGCAGACCTGACAAGCATCTGGCCACTGACTGCCCGTTCACAGGCATGAGTTGGTCAGCCCCCGTCAGCTTCCCCAACTGCACACTGAAACAAGTTCCTGAAGTCTTGGCGAATGTCTTTCGGAAAGACACTCTGCATAGAAATTAGGCTTGATTTTATGGTGGGACAGGAGAAAGTCCTGACCCATAGATTTCCACACAAGGTAACAGGTAGATTTCTGCCCCAAGGAAAGAAACAGAAGAGGTCAGCCCACCTCTGCCTTTTGTGCGTCTCCCCCAGCCGCCAGCAGAGGGAGCCGCAGGGAGGTGCCCACGTGGACCCCCTACCCACTCCCTGCTGCTGAAGGCCAAGTGTCACCTCACCCACCTGTCCTGCTCCTCATCCAGTGACTCATACGAGTTTTCATAGCATTCAATGCGCCTCATGAAGTCCTCAGTGGCCTCGTCGCTGTCCCGGTTGACATAGTCGGGGCTGCCCAGCTTCACTTGCTGCCAGAGACAGGCATAGAGCAAGAACACATCTTGCTGGAGTACAGGCAGGACCAGAAATCGGGGATCCAGATAGGCAGGGGTCAGGGAGATGAGGCCAGAGGCCAGGCCAGGGCTGGGGGCCTGAGGCTGGTACCCAGCTGGGGACTGCTCCATCAGGAATGACCCTGAGGCTTTCTGCTCTGAGTTAGTCTCTCACCCTCAGTGGGGAGCTTAGGGCTCCTTCTCTATCCCAAATTATCTTTCAGACCAACATGGCCATTCTAGATAAGCAAGGAGTACGGAATAAGAGCGGCGGTGGGAAACAAATCTGGGTATTAAATAGAAACACCCCAGCCCCCCCCCTGGCTGAGGCTCCTCCAGACCAAGGGGGAAGGGAAGGGAGAGAGAAGGAATGTGAAACGTGCAAGAATGAAGGCCCACGAGGCACACAACCCTCCACACAATAGTCCTTCCCACTCCAGGCTCACCTACCTCCTCATCCCCACAATATCCAAGATCAGTGAAGGACAGCCCAAGTGGCGGCCCAAACCCGGAGAGGGACCTCACCGTTACATGTCACCTGTCCCATTACCATCCCCAGGAAGTCAGATGAACCACTCACCACAATGTTGGCAGCTATGACTTCAGGATCCACACAGATAGATTCAACAAAGAAGGTCTACGGCAGGGGAAGGGCAGAGGAAGCAGGGGAAGGGCAGAGGAAGCAGGGAGAGCAGGTACAGGACGGCAAACACGTTAGCGACATGCACTTCCTCCCAGGGTTACTCCCTGCCACCCACATGCCCACCAAGCTAAAGCAGGTGCCACTGTATCCCAGGCTCTCACTACAGCCCTAGAAAGCAAGCTCCAGGAGGAGAGGAAACTACTCCTCCGCTCAAATTACACTCAGCAACCCTAATGCCCAATGCCCAGGGACACCAGGAGGCTGCAAAAGGGGTCTCTGAGGGCCCAGATGTACAGCCACCCTGCTAAGAAGAGGTACCCAGGAGACCTCACCTTGTAGCCATTCTGTTCCCCAAAGTTTAAGATCATCGCTCTCCGTTCCCGAGTGGTATTTGTTGCATCAAAAACCTAGGACCAAACTGAGGTGAGCTCGGATCTCTGGTGCTATGGAAGCAAAAGGCCACCCAAGGCTGCAGCACAGGCATTCTCTGGAGAGTGGGCTTCGTGCCAGGGTCCTGCTGCCCAGGCCACCAGCCTGGCCTGTCTCCTGCAGACTTACATAGAGGAAGGTACTCAGCAGAGCTCTGCGCTCAGTTCATGTGTGACCAGTGGATTCTAGCAAAACCGGTTAAGCCTGGAATTATGATTTGGATGTGGTTTTTCTCCTAAGGTTCATGTTCAGTTTCTCCCAAGAGAGATGCAAGTCTGGCCTACCCAGCTCTGTGTTTTCCTATCTCCAGATATGGTCTTTTTCTCCTGCAAGGTTCTCCTGCCATGATGCTATGAGCTCCTTAATATGTGAGGGTACCCAATCTGGAACTTTCAGCCTCAAAACTGTGAGCTAAAGCTTTCTTGTGATGGGCCAAGACAGGGTCTCACTATAGTCCAGGCTAGCTTTGAACCTGTAATGTAGGGCAGACTGGCCTCAAACCTGCAGCAATCCTCCTGCCTATGCTTCTCAAGTGCTGGGATTACACGTGAGTGCTACCAAACCTAGCAACACAGCTTTTCTTTTTTAAAATTTTTATTACACTTAGGGAGGGAGAATGTGTGTGTGTGACCAAGCCAGATGACCTGAACTCGGTATGTGAGACCAACCCTCCCTGCAAGTCGTCCTCTGATCCCTACACTTGTCCTGTGCCACACTCCCACACACATGCACAGAAAAAAGAAATACTGCCTGGCAACGGGAGCACATGCCCTTTATCCCAGCACTTGGGAGACAGAGGCAGGCAGATGTCAAGTTGGAGGCCAGCCTGGTCTATGAAGTGAGTTTCAGGACAGCCAGGGCTACACAGAGAAACCCTATCTTCAAAACAAAACAAAACAAAACAAAACAAATGGAACCACTGAGAATTGTAGAAAAGGAAGTTAGGAAAATGGGAAGTGGAGGGAGTTTGAGCTACCAGAAAGTGGTAAAGGCAGTTTATTAAAGAAATAACTTTTGGCAGTTTCTATGTCTGGAGGATGAATTTCCCTAAGGAGGGTCCCCTTGGACATAGCCTGAATCAGGGAGGATCTAGCTCAAGGAGAGAGGCCTTGAAGACCATAAAGGCCTCCCAAGTGGAAACAGCACAAGAAGCCCCAGCTCCCCTAGATGAAACTGGAGAAGACCAGCAAGTCAAAGGCATCCAACTTCTCTGATGGCCAAGCCAGAAACCATCAGCCAACATAGCTGGGGAGTAGAGGGGTTAGGGGTGGAAGGTAGGGAAATGGGAGGGGAGAGGGGATCCATGTATCCCACATCCAACCATCAGACCCTCCTAAGACAGGTGTGATGGCACACACCTCTGATCTCAGTACTTTGGAGGCAGAGGCAGGCAGGTCTCTGTGAGTTAGAGGCCAGCCTGGTCTATAGAGTGAGTTTCAGGACAGCCAAAGCCACACAGAGAAACCCTGTTTTTCTTGGAAAACACCTAACCAGATAAACAAAAAAACATTTCTGCTGGGTAAGGTTTCACCACAAGTATTTCCCAAGCACTCTGTTGTTTTTAGAAGTGGGTCTCATGCATCCCAGGCTGGCCTAGAGCTCCCTAATAGCCAAGGATGCTCTGATCCTCCTGTCTCTACCTCCATAGGATTGCAACCACAGGCACATGTCAACATACTCAATTTATTCCATGCTGGAGGTCAAACCCTAGGTTTCATGGCTGCTAGGCAGCACTCTATCTACTGAGCTACATCTCCAGTCACTTTACTGAAGAAAACGTATCTGTGGGGTCCACTTCAATAAAACAGTCCAGCCAGTGCTGGATGTTGGTGGCACAAGGCTTTAATCCCAGCACTTGGGAGTCAGAGGCACGTAGATCTGTGAGTTCGTGGTCTATAGAGTGAGATCTAGGACAGCTATGGCTACAAAGAGAAACCCTGTCTAAAAAAAAAAAAAAAAAAATCAAACAAACAAATAAATAAAAATAAACAAAACAGATCAGCCAAAAAAAGAAAAAACCTGGCGTGTGGTGCTGGCAGTGCGGAGGCAAAGAATACAGACTAGAGCTGGGGGTCAGTGAGCTTCAGGAGGCAGGACTCCAGGGGGAACATGGTAGAGAGGAGACAGCCCTGAATGCACAGGGCTGAGAGAGGCCCTTCCTCAAGGATTCCCACAGCTCTGCCTGGTCACACCTCATCTGACTGCAGGAATCCTCAGCCCCAGGAATCCCCTCCCCAGGCCTCAGGTGCTTTCAGTAAACTCTGGGCAGGGGTCCCCACGCCAGGAGAAGTCGGATGTGTGGAAGACTGATCTAGACTACTGCCAGTCCTCACTTCTAGAAGGAAGAACTGCAGGGGGAAAGCCTGGCCCAGACACTTCCTCCTGCATGCTTCTTCCCTTGGCTGGCACCCTCAGGCATCAGGGGCACACCTACCCCACCCTGCTTCCCTTCCAAGTGCCCGAAGAGCAAACAGTAGCTAGGGGTGGGGTGGGGGAATCCTACATCTCACTTGGTTTTTTTGAGGGCGTCCCACTCACCGCCACATGTCCGCCCTCCTCACTGAGAAACTTCCGGACGTCACGGAGGGCCGCCAGTGCACACTGCCTTCAGGAGAGAAGACACAGAGTCAGCCTAGTGTCAAGCCTACCATAGACAGACAGACAGGAGAGGGGCCGGCTCTCCTCTGACTGTGTTCCTGGGTATCAGGCCTTCCGGATGCCACTTTCTGTATGTTCCTTCGTCACCTCATCCTGGCACAGCTGTTGCTTTGCCACGTTCATGATTCCTAAGTATCATGCATGTTCTGCGATTATCAAGCTAAGTGCTTTTCTTGAATTAGTTAATTTTTGGTTTACTTATTTTATGTATATCAGTGTTTTGCCTGCATGATGCAGACCATGTGTGTGTGCGCCTAGTGCCCTCAGAGGTCAGAAGAGTGTAGAGGGATTTTAATCCAGCATGGCTACTCTGGCAGGAATACAGACAAGCCCTTAGCACACATCTTTAATCCCAAACAAGGAAGGTAAAGTTAGTTGGTAGAAGGAAGCAGCCAGGTTGGATTTCGTTCATGAGTTCAGTGCAGGTCAGAAGAGGCGGCTGAAGGCTGAGAGCAGCACAAAGAGAGAAAAAGAGGAGGCAGTTTTTACCTGGAGAGTTTTATGGAGAGAGAGGTTGAAGAGAGAACACGCTAGACACAGGTGAAGCTAGAATAAGCCACAGAGTGAGAAGGAGCCAGATTAGAACAGATTCTAGAGTTAGTTTGAGGCCAAGCAGAGCAATTCAGTGAGAAACTGAGTGAAGCCAGTTTGAATCAGTTGGCTTGGAGAGGAATTTAAACCAGAGCAGCTGGGTTGAACCAGCCAGCCAAAGTTCAGAATGAACTAGAAAGGGTGAGCTTATTCGCAGTAAGTCTCAGAGGCTGAAAATGTTCTAGGCCTAGATTAGATTGTACAGAGGCTAGAAGCTTCCAGGATTGGGCCTAAGTTAGCAGATGGACTACATCAGAAGAATAAAGGATACTGTAACAGGAGAGGGTATTGGACTCCCTAGAACTAGAGTTACAGATGGTCGTAGACCACCATGTGGGTGCTGGGAATCAGACCCCGGTTCTCTGCAAGAGCAGCCAGTGCTCTTAACCATGGAACCACAGCTCCACTCTCAAGATGGATGCTTTCCAATCAGCCATTCTCTGTGGACCCTAGGCTGGGGGCAGCAAAGAAGGACACAATGGCAGCATTCTGTCCCGGAGGAGAGAACGCCATAAACCGCCTCCTGACAGAGCACAGGGCCGTGTCCCCAGGACATTCAACTCTAACCCCCATGACCGTGCACTATACTGGGATGGCTTGTTTGCTTTGAAATGAACTGGCACATGCAGGGGCCGTTCCCACTTTGTTTCTCCTAAAGCTCTGGAGGAGAAACAAAGCTGCTTTTATTTTGTTTGAAACAGGGTCTCACCAGGTGACCTAGAGCTTGCTACATAGACCAAGCTAGCCTTGAACCCACAGGGATCCACCTGCCTCTGCCTCCTGAGTGCCGTACTTTTACTTTTTATCTATGACATCCTCGCTTTTAAAAGAAAGTGATGCTGGAGATGGAACCCAGGGCATTGCCCACAGCAGAAATCCCTCCCACCCGTCTTCACGTACTGACGTAGAGTAATGCCAGCCCTCCCATCTGTGATCCTAGAGTGTGCACGGAGATTCCCAGTGTGTCAAAGTCAAAGGCCTATATTGTAGGGCTGTCACTGCGGAGCCAAGTCCAGGCCACTAAACAGCTGTGCCTTCCTGCCTCCTCCTGACCCTGTGCTCTATGGGTTTCTCAGTTAACCCTTCAAAGCTCTTTCTTCTGGGAGTCGGAGAGAGGGCACAGCGGTTAACAGCAATTTCTGTGCTTTTAGAGGACCTGAGTTCAGTTCCCAGCACCCATCAAGCAATGCAAAACTAGGCAGCTCACAACTGTCTGTAACTCCAGTTCCAGGGGATCTGATGCCCTCACACACACATATAAGCACGCAGGACACCAATGAACACAAAACCAAAATAAATAAATTATTTTTAAAAAGTAGGCAACCCCAACTCCAGGAGATCCCATGCCTATTCTTGTCTCTGTGGTACTTTCACGTACATGGCATGCACACGCGTGGGTGCGTGCTCACACACACACATTTAAAAATTAAAAGAAAGTGGGGTGGCGGCGGCGCACACCTTTAGTCCCAGCACTTGTGAAGCAAAGGTAGGCGGATCTCTGTGAGTGTACAAAGTGAGTTTCAGGACAGCCCTAGTTATTACAGAGCAACTCTGTCTAGAAAACCCTAGGTAGGGCTGGAGAGATGGCTCAGAGGTTAAGAGTACTGGCTGCTCTTCCAAAGGTCCTGAGTTCAATTCCCAGCAACCATATGGTGGCTCACAACAATCTATATTGAGATCTAGTGCCCTCTTCCGGCCTGCAGGTGTACATGCAGGCAGAACATTGTATACGTAATTAATAAATTAATTTTTTTAAAAAGAAAACCCTAGATAGATAGATAGACAGCTCAGTGGTTTAGAACACTGACTACTCTTCTAAGGGATCAAATTCAATCCCCAGCACCCACATCCAGTTCTAGGCATTCTGGCACCCTCTTCTGGTTTCTGTAGACATGCAGGTAAAGCACTCAGACACATGCAAAAATAATAAAATGAAAGAAAATTTAATCTTTAAGAAATATTTTTGGGGAGCTGGGGTGATGGCTCAGTGGCTAAGAGCACTGGCTGCTCTTCCAGAGGACCTGGGTTCAATCCCAGCACCCACATGATAGCTCACAACTGTCTGTAACTCCAGTTCCACAGGCTCTGATACCCTCACACAAACATGCAGGGGAAACACCAGTGCACATAAAATAAAAATAAAGAAAATGTTCTTAAAAATTTTAAGCAGGTGGGGAGAGGGTTCAGTGGTTAAGAGCACTTGCTGCTCTTGCAGAGGACCTGGGTGCGATTCCAGCACCCACACGGTACCTCACAACCATCATAACTGCAGTTCAGGGGATCCCACGCCCTCTTCTGACCTCAGAGGATACAGGCATGCATGCAGCGCACAGGCACACGTGGTCAAAATAAATGCTAAAAAGGAGTTGGGTTTTGGGTTTTTTTTTTTTTAAAGTGTTTTCTTTTGTCAAAACCTCTAAATTCTGAGTGTAGAAAATCAGCGCTGTTGGGTCATTTTACTACCTGCCTATAGACCAGCACGTTCTGAGCTGAGCTAAGATCTTTGTGAGCTGTCCTGATTACGGACCTACAGAGGAACCCCAGGGCTCCAAAGGAAACACCAGAACATCTTGGGAGACATTAGTACTTGCCTGCCTGTGTATGGGCAGGTCTGTGTGAGTGCACTATAGCCATTTGGGGCACGCCAGCCTATCAGTGTGTGTGAGAATCCCCTGGACCCATGCTGGAGGAACGGAAGGCATCCTGGGGGCTCCAAGGAGACGGCTCGCATGTCTGGGCTGGACTTCACGCCTTGAGTCTTTCCCTGCTTCCTGTCACTGTGCTGTAAGAAACCTCAGCCGTGAGCCCTGGGAGTCACCCTGGAGGTCACCAACCGCAGGTAGTGCTAGGATCCAAGCGTGCTGGCTATGCAGATGCAAAGGCTGAGCAAGGGTGTGCGGCTCGGGGGACGCACACCAAGAACGAGGCGCACACTCCCACAGATTCACGCAGGGGCACACATGCTCCCACAGGCAGCGTGGCTGTGTACTCCTGCCTCTCAATGACTGTCACATTCCTGTTGACACCTTCCTCTCTGCTTTCATATATCTGGATGTTGCATAGCTTTGAGACCTCGACAGCGGATGTGTAGCCAGGCCTCTAACGCAGCCCTTTCTTCTCAGGCTTCCCTTTTTGTTGTTATTTTGTTCTTGTTTTAGGCAGGGTTTCTTTGTGTAGCCCTAGCTGTCTAGGAACTCTCTTTGTAGACTAAGCCTTGAACTCACAGAGATCCCCCAAGCGCTGGAATTAAAGGCATGCCTTACCAAGGCCTGCCCTTAGGGTTCCCATTTTTAAGACTTCTGGTCCCACCCACATAGTGGCAAATGCCTGTAATCCCAGGATTTGGAAGGTGGAGACAGGAGGATCAGAAGTTCAAAGCCATTCAAGTTCAAGCCTGAGCTACATCCTGCCATCCATCTCAAAACAAACAAAAATTCTTTCTGCTCCGGGGCTGTGTGCAGTCAGTTTATCACGAACAAGGCCCCAGTTCAGTTCCCAGTGCAAAAAACCAACAGGAATGCCTCACCTTCCCCCACGGGCTCCTCTGTTCCAGCAGGTGACTTTGGGCTACTTCCTCCAACCTGGGTCTGGGTTTCTCCATTTGAACTATTCCCCAGATTCTGAGTGAAACGGCCAGCAGACTGGGAACACCAACACTACCAGCCTTCCAGTTCAGACTCAATGGCCCCAAACAGACCTTCATTCCAAGCTCAGCCTCCATAGGTGGGAAAGGCACTGATCAGACACGGGGGCCCGGACCTTGGCCTTGCTTTAGATTTTGCACTTGAGACATTCTTTGACCCACTAGCCGTGAGATCCTTGAGTGAGTGGATGGTGGAAACTTTTTGTTGCCGCTGTTTTGTTTAATTGATTGGTTTCTAGTCTTTTGAGATGTGGGCTCCTGCTGCCCGAGCTGGCCTTGAACTATGTAAAAGATGCTGACCTTGAACCTGACCCTCCTGCCTTCACCTCCCAAATGCTGGCACAGATCAAACTCAGCACTGATACAGTTTCTAGTGGTAAGTAGATTTAGGTTCAAAATTATTCAGTAACCCACACAGAAGTGTGTGGGATCTGGGAGCCTCCTTGCCTAAAAAATGGGGACAATGGGCATCAGACACCAAGCACACAGTAGCTTCTAATATCAATGTATCTCCTGGCCTCCAGTTTTACCAGTCAGGTGACGAACCTGGTCTCGTGCACAGAGGCGCACTCCTGCCCCCTGGTGGCCACAGGGGAATAGGTAGCTTAGTGCCCTCTAACCCTGAAGCTGGGCTTCATTTGAGGAAGTTACAAAAGCTGGGGCAGCCGCTGGTACTGTCCTACCAAGATGGCTGAGGGAGGGCAAGTCTGTGCCACCTGAGGCTAATAAGGGGCATGTGGTGGTTAGTTTTAATTGTGAAACTGACACAATCTTAGCATCACCTGGAAAAGGTTTCCATGACAGATGGTCTGGGTCAGGTGGCCTGTGGGAATGTCTGTGAGAATTTTCTTTTTCTTTTTTTAAAGATTTATTTATTTGGGGCTGGGGAGATGGATCAGCAGTTAGTTAAGAGCACTGCCTGTTCTTCTGAAGGATTGGGGTTCAATTCCCAGCACCCACATGCCATCTTACAACTGTCTATAACTCCGGTTCCAGGACCTGACACCCTCACACAGACATACATGCAGGCAAGACACCAATGCATGTAAAAAAAAAAGTAAGATTTTTTTTTAAAAATTATTTTTATGTGCATTGTTGTTTTGCCTGTATTTTATGTCTGTGTGAAAGTGTCTGGTTCTCTACAACTTGAGTTCCAGACAGTTGTGAGCTGCCATGTGGGTGCTAGAAATTGAGCCCAGGTCCTCGGTAGAGCAGCCAGTGCTCTTAGCCAGTAAGCCATCTGTCTAGCCCCCAATTTTTTTTTAAAAATTAGGTTAATTGAAATGGGAAGACCCTTGAACATGTGGGTGACCCCTGCCATGGCCTGGTCCTGAACTGTGTAATGAGTGAAAAGGCAGGCTGGGCAAGCAGGCGTACACACAGTTACTGTGTCTCTGTGCTGAGCTGTGGATGTCACTAGCTGCTTAAGTTCCTGCCTTGACTTCTCTCAGTGGACTATAATCCGGAATGGAAAACAAACCAGCATTTCTCCCCTTTATTTCTGTCGGGTGTTTTTGTCTGGTGTTTTCCCACAGCAACAGAAATGGAAATGGGACAAGGCTTGTTTCTGTTGTCCTTGTTTTGAGACAGGGTCTCACTATGTAGCCCTGGCTAGCCTGGAACTCACCATGCAGACCAGGCCGGCCTTGAACTCCTAAAGATTTGTCTGCATCTGTATTCCAAGTGATGAGATTAAAGGCGTGTGCACATGCCTGGGAAGGCAGGGCTCCTTGAGCATCCGAGCCAGTCCCCTCCGAGGAAGGGCGCATCATCACTTAGAAAGTTCACATTGGAATTGGGAGGGGGAGAAAGGTCACATGGAAATTTCTGTCTTGTGACTGTCAGCTACTCTCCCCACAGCACCCAGGACACATTAAACCAAAACCAAGCTAAAACCTAGCTGCTACATGCCAGGAACATGTCAAGCACATGGCAAACATACTATAGCATTCATGAGGGTGCCTAATCCTGGGCAGAAGAGGGAATGACACGCACCTTCCATGGCAGCCTGGGATAGACAGGCAGGACATGCATGCCATGCAGTGGTCCCTGACATGGCCTGCCAAGCCTCTCCTCTCCCTGAGGCTCCAGCCCCCCCTTCCCACAGAATGTCCTTACCTAAGGCCCTCAATCCTAGGGCAGGAAAGAGATCATCAAGGCTACATACAACATCCCGCTAAACCCATTATATGCCAACCTTTCCACAACAGGCAACACAGTAAGACCTTATTTCAAAAAAAAAAAAAGAAGAAGAAGAAGAAGAAGAAGAAGAAGAAGAAGAAGAAGAAAGAAAGAACAGAAAAAACGAAGATGCCACTTCTCTCTGTCACATAGCATCTGGACGGTGACGCTGCAGCTCAGGAGCAGCTCAAGCAGTCAGCGGCAGCGAGGCTCCAGAGGTTGGGAGAGGAGCTGTTTCTCAGCAAAGGTGTTGTCACTTATCAAGCCTTCCCTACAGCGCTGCCCCACCCCACCCCTCACCACACTTACTTCCTGATTTTCAGGCCTTCTTCATTGTCTGGGAGGAAAAACTCAAAAGATTTGTATGTCTTGACCAAGTCCCGGCGATACTGGCCAACGTTGAATTCTAGGGGAGGAGAGGCTCAGCTTTCACAGGGTAGCAACCTCACAGACCCCTGCCCAGGACCCTTCCCCAGGCCCTGCCCGCCTCCCAGAGAGAAGCCTTCTCTCCTCCCCTTCCTCAGCAGGGCCCCCAACCCCCACGAGCCCCTTGGAGCCTCACCCCGAGTAGGCACACCGATCCAGTTGAGGTAGCGGGTCAGCTTCTTGGAGATGTAGGTCTTGCCCCTGGCGGGCAGGCCCACCATGATGATGAGTGTTGGGCAGTTGGTCATGCACACTGGAAGGCAAGCAGCACTGTGGTGGTTAGACTGTCACCGGGATTTAGAGTCACCGTGGAAACCAATCTCTGGGCTTGTCTATGGTGAGGTTTCTATTAGGTTAACGGAGGCAGAAAGGTCCACCTTAAATGTGGGCAGTGCCGTTCTGTGGGCAGGGATCCTGAGTTGAGAAAACAGACAGAAGAAGAAGAAAGCCAGCAGGAGCACCCACCCACTCTCTGCTTCCTCCCCGGGGCTGCGATGTCAGCAGCTCTGCCAGCTTCAGCCTTGCCATGGCGGTCTCTCCCCTTGAACTGTGAGCCAGAAAAAGCATTTCCTTCCTTAAGGTGTTCTGTCAGGTATTTTATCACAGCCGCAAGGAGAGTGACTCCTTCGGGCGCATACACTGCTGCACGCTGCTGATCAGCCCGAGTCTCCCTCTCTTCCCAGGTTACGTCGGCCTCGGGGCATAGGACTGACACCAGCTGTACTTCTGGCTGCCTGGCATCAGGCAGCTAAGTAACCCCGGATCCCGTCTTAGGCTGATCTGTGCTCTGTTCCCAGGTCAGTCTGGGCTCTGGAACCTCACCAGCCCCTTCCATCACAAAGCACACACCAGTTTATAAGGCACAACCAGCCAGGCCAGGCGCTGACGCTGCTGAGGAGCGGCCCACTGCCCAAAGGACGGAGCCAGCGCCTGCCTCTCCATACCCTAATCTCTGTCTACCAGAGCCAGCTCCACCGTCGTCTCCTTGTGAGCTCTGGACTGATTCCTTGGAGTAGCGCTTTATGCATGACTGTCCACTGAGCCAAGCAACCAACTGAGCCCTTCACGAAAGCATTACCCCGGCGAGGCTTGTTGATTGTTTCCCCTCATGGAGGGATGAGAAGGGTCCTGAGACCCTTACCCGAGTGGCCAGCTGCTTCCTACCACCTGCGGTATGGCCCCACGGCTATATTGGTAGCCCTTCACCTATGCTCTAGAAGGAAACCCAGGAAACTCACTGGCTCTTCAGACTGAAGTTTCGGAACTGTGACTCTGTGTGTCACTGGGACCTTAGGAGGATCTCCTTGAGCCGCAGTGGCCGGGGACAGATGCCAAAGCAGCAGGACTGCCTGTGACTCAGCTCAGCTTCCAATGAGGGCCAAACGTGATCCCTCCCTAGAAGCCATGGGAGCCTTCCTTTTCATCACCCCTAAGACCTGGCCCAGTAAAACCACAGGAGACAGGCTGTGAGCAGATGTGGGGAGCTGTGCAGGCCTCTCCTCTGCCCAGCCACCTGCCCTCCTTTGCCAGACTATCAGGGCCCCCTTAGCTGTCTCTCTAGAACACACAGGCCTCATGAATACCTGTGCCTGGCATCCACAGCCAGGCACCAGGGTCCTGATTTTGATTCTGACTCCTGGCAACTCTGAGTCTTGGTGTCCCCATTAGCATGATCTAGCACCTCCCCCAGGGAAGGCTGGAGCACGCTGGGAAGCTGCACCCTTTGCCTTGCCCTCGAAGCATCCTGGACTATGGACACAGGTATATTTCAGCCCCAGCTGCACTTAGGACTTGGGATGGAAGCAGCATCACTTCTGTGCATGACTCAAACTGTGAACGCCAAGGTGGCGAAGGAGACATGGGCTGAAGTAAGAGTGAGGGCACTTGCAGAATAACCTCAGAGTTGGCTAAGGAGAGAGGAAACCGCGTTAAGCAAGGCTTCGCCTCCTCTGCACACTGCTGGAGTCTGTTGTTTGCACAACTCCTGCCCAGGCTGACCAGGCGCTCGCTCTGAAGCAATTTAAAGTACATCAGCCATTTATGAGGGCAATCCATCTGCCTGCCCCTCCCCATGAGCGCGCACACGCGCGCGCGCGCACACACACACACACACACACACGCACACACACACACACACATGCACCATTAATCTCTCAGGGACAGTGCTCAGCACTTCAAGACTGAGGTACTGTACTACGCTTTACACCTGTCTTAGGGTTTGTTGCTTTGACAAAACATAACTAAAAGCAACGTGGGGGGAAAGAGTTTATTTGGCTTACATTCTCACATGAGTGTTCTTCACCCAAGGAAGTCAGACAGGAACTCAAACAACACGGGAACCTAGAGGCAGGAGCTGATGCACAGGCCATAGAGGGTGCTGCTTACTGCCTTGCACATCATGGGCTGCTAAGTCTAATCTTTTCTCTTTTTAAAAGACTTTATTTATTTATTTATTTATTTATTTATTTATTTATTATGCAATGTTCTGCCTGCATGTGTGCTTGCCCGCCAGAAGAGGGCACCAGACCTCATTATAGATGGTTGTGAGCCACCATGTGGGTGCTGGGAATTGAACTCAGGACCTTTGGAAGACTAACTAGTGCTCTTAACCTCTGAGCCATCTCTCCAGCCCTCAACCTGCTTTTTTTATGCACCTAGGATCACCAGCCCAGGAACAGCATCACCCACAATGGGCCCTCCCCCACCAATCATTAATTAAGAAAATGCCCCACAGGCTTGTCTGCAGCCTCATCTTCAATTGAGGTTCCCTCCCCTCAAGTAACCAGCGCTTGTGTCAAGTTGACATGAAAACTAGACGGCTCAACATCTATTTTCCCAGAGCTTGACGTGGGGCCTCCTCCCACACTCTCTTTTGACAGGGCCCCCGTTCTCCACTCCCACCAATATGGAAGGTGGGCAGGCAATAAGGACAGCAGATTGGATCTGGGGACAAAACAAGGCAATAAATTGGTGATCACCTCTGCTCCTCAAGATAAGCTCCCCAGGGGGGAAAAAAATCAAAGCAAACCAAAGTTCAAGACCATTTGTGGCAGTCCTGCTTACAACAGCAGGATGTGGAGATAGTCCCTAGAGTGAAGAAATTATACTCAAGGTCAGAACAAGGGAGGGCACAGCCCAGACCTTGAGACCTTGAGGTGGGGTGTACAGCCAGAACCACATCCCTGAGAAACAAGGACCCTAACATCTAGCTGCCAGGACAGCAGGACACGTCAGCTCAGCCCTCTCTGGCTCCCTTTTCCATATATTTACTGAAGGCTTACTACAGAGCCCTAGGAGCCCGAAGGCCTGAGGCATCTGTGGCAATCAAGAGCGCCTGCCTACTTCCAGGCACTTCTGCCAAGAGCACAGCAGCAGTTCCTGGAGTGGGTTCCAGCAAACTCCTGAATTTCTTGTACCTGCTCCCACCGCCTTGCCCAGACTGAGGAAGGAAAGGCATGACAGTCCCTCCCCTCAGAGGACAGAAACTGTCCTCCTGTTGCCCTGTGCATACACACAGCCGTGTCCACCAGAGGAATCATGCCATCTTGCCACTTTCAGCTAAAAAAGCCATCAGAAAAACAATATTAGGGGCTGCAGAGATAGCTCAGTGATTCAAAGCACTTATTCTTAGTCTGCCGTAGTGGCACACGCCTTTATTCCTAGCACTCTGGGGACAGAGGCAGGTGGAGCTCTGAGTTTGAGGCTAGTTTGAGGTCTACAGCGTAAGCCCAGGTCAACCAGGACTGCACAGAGAAGCCTGACATGACACTTGCTGTTGCAGAGGACAAGGTTGGATTCCCAGCACCCACACAAAGGACCACAGGAGTCCATAACTCCAGTTCTGGAGGATCTGCTGCCCTCCCCTCACTTCTCAGGACATCAAGCACATACTTCCATGAAAGTGCACAGACATACATGAAAGGAAAATACTCATACGTATAAAATAAGGAAATAAATATTTTTAAAAAACTTTAAAAAATAAAGAAAAATGGTATTCTAGCACTGAGGAGGCAGAGGACCATCCACAAGCCAGTTCCAGGCCTGCTCCAGGAGACTACAATCTCAAAAACAAAGAAAAAACCACATCCTACCTGTCATGGTCCTAGGGTCCCTTCTCATGCCCTGTCCTACCTCCTCAGAGCTCCTGAAGGTCTAAGCTGGGATTCTAATGGTAAGGAAATCTATTAGCTTCCAGACGTGTAAGTATGGCTCTGAATTTTATAAACATATCAAATTTTGTCAACTATTTATGGTGTTGAGCGTGGAGAACATGGCTTTGTCAGTCAGCCCCAGCAACTTGAGGGGCTGTGGACTAGACACCGGAGGAAATTCCCCGTCAGCCCCAACTAGAGAAGCAGGAGCCACTTTTTCCTTCCTGTAAAGTCAGGCTAATCTTCCCTGACCTAGGGTCTTTATTGTCCTTCCCACCTGGTCCCAGCTCCCTGTGCAAAGGTGCAAACAGAGGGGCTGCCTGGCTGTGTTGTGACCTCTGGGATCCCTGGCTGGGGCCCAGACCCCCATCCCCAGGCACACACCTGAAGTTTCATCTTTGGCCAAGTCACTTCCTAATTCAGAAAAGTGTAAGTCTACAACCCAGACCATTCCAACACAAGAGTTACTTGTTTGTTTGTTTTAGGGTCTTTTTTTTTTTTTTTTTTTTTTTTTTTTTTGAGGTAGGGTTTCTCTGTGTATCCCTGACTATCTTGGAACTCACTACATGGACCAGGCTGCCTCAAACTCACAGAGATCCTCCTGCCTCTGCCTCCTCAGTGCAGGGATCAAAGGTTTTCGTCACCACACTCGGCTTGCTTCCTCTTTTCAAGTATTCACTCCTTAGTAGAGACAAAGACGATAATGGTCCCATCCTACGCTGAGGTCTAAGGGTTAGCTCCTTGTCCAAGATCACACAGCTGGTCCCGGAGGTGGCTTGAGTGTCGCTGTCCCCAAAGTCCAGGTTCCGGCTCAGTGCAGCCACCCCTGGTTAGGACCACACTCCTAATAAAGGCTGGCAAGGAGCTTCTAAAAGGACGACTGGCCAGGCTAAAGCCACAGCCTCTGGGGACTAGCAATGTTTCTGGACAGCTACGGATCCCCCAGTGCCCATACTGTGGTCAGAGCCTCCACCCACAGGAAGACAGGCAGCTTATGAACAACAGCCAGCCTAGCAGGACCCGAGCTGTGATCACAGACACACACCTTCCCCGCCCCCACTCTCCTAGGACTCTCACTGAGGTAATGGCCAAAGTCATGGCCTCAGGCTGGCCTTGGCAACAGAAGCCCAGAGGACCCTCCCCTCCCTTATCACACACACAGCAGCCTTCGGGAATGCACAGAGACCCTGGGACATCACACAACAGCCATTTCCATATCTGCGCCTCCAGTTGGACTAGATGTTCTCTGAGGTCTTTGCCAAGCTGCAATTTCATTACAATATTTGAATCACTCCTAAAACAAGTTTTTTTTCCCCCTTTTCCCTGTTAATGAAAAAGTTGCAGATTCATTTAAGAACAAACAGAAAAACCAAGGAAGCAGATGAAAACACCCAGGATCCCAGAAGTGAGTTACTTAGCAATTCACAAATTTCAGCACATCCCCCAGATGTTCCGTCCTCCAGTGCAGTCATTTACATATGAACTCATTCGATGCCTCGATGTCCAAGGACACTGAGATAGGCCCCACGGTGCGCTGTTCCCCTGACTCAGTCCTGACCACTGCGCTCCCCTGAAGGTCCTCCAAAACTTTGGGTTTAAGACCAAGGGGTACCTGTCTTGCTGAGGACTACTAGCCCATTGCTAGGCTTTCAAAAGTTCTCGGCTCAGAGAGGCCAAAAGCCGTGTCTGGAGCTCAGTCTCCAGCCGGACTACCTGCCAGCCCGCTCTGTGGCCAGGAGAGAGGAAAAAGTAGTGCCCACGACCACGAAGTCCTCCCTTGTACCCAGGCACTGGAAACAGCTTGATGGTGTCCAGACCCAGTCTCCAACAGACTGAGATGTCCCCTCACACCATCCCCACTCCCGCTCCACCACCCTTAGCTTCTGCGGGCCACCGCCACAGCACCACTGTCACCCACGATTCACCTGTTCCCAGCCTCTCGGCTGTCCCCGACTCCGCCCATCAGTCACAACAGCCTCACCTGTGCCCGCTTCTTTACCTGTCTTCCGCCTTTCCACGTTAAGACCCTCGCCCAGGCCATCTACCCACCATCCGGGTTCACCTCCTCCTCCTTTCCCCACGGACCCCGTCTTACCACCACGCTGGCTGGCGTGCAGAGCGGGCCGCCCATTGCTGTACGGCATCCAGATCTTCTTCAGGGGATTCTGGGTCAGTTCCCTTGGGGACGCCATCCCCGTACCGGGATGAATCGGACTGCGCTGCTTCTCACCCAGCAAACCCGGCCACCTCGGGCCACCCGAGGTCCCGCCCCTCGGGCCCCGCCCCTCCTCTAGCGGCTCCTACTCTTGTCCATCTTCCCGCAGGCCCGCCCCAGCACTAATAGGCTCCACCCAAACTGAAGAGGAGCTGGCCTACGACTACGCATGCCCAATTTTCCTACCGCCTCTTTTTGGACTAAGCGCGCCCCGTCCTTCAAACTAGAGCTGATAACACGCATGCTCAGTTTCCAATGAGTCTGACACCCGGATTATGCAGGCCCCGCCCCGGATGTGAAGTTTACCGCCCTCGGCCGGATTTATATTTGCATAGGCCCCACCCATGTCCCCGCCCAGGGCTGTGCGGCCCCGCCTCAAAGCGTGTGCCGCCTCTGCTGCCTGGGAAATGGGACGTCACGGTTACCGGGTGAGAGGCGTAGGAAGCTGGGCGGGGCCCGCGTGACGCTCGGAGCCTAGGTAGTCTAGACCCGCTTGGCAGTTGTCCCTTAGTGACTCTAGTGACTGGCCTGCTGTCCTGGCAATCAACCACCGCTGCGCCCTCCTAGACCTTCTCCGGCCTCCTCAGCTGCTCCCACCCTCGAAACTTCCCGCGTCCACAAGAACAACTTGTTCAAACACGCATCAAACACGCAAGATAAGGGAACTTTTTCTAGTTCCCTTATCTCAGGGACATAGACACAGGATACATCTCAAATTTGACCCTGTTTTGGCATGGCTACTGGGGAACTTGGGCTAAACCTCAGCCCACTTGGAGCAAATACATGACCAAACTATTTGGGGACTCACAAGCCCTAGCAGTTTCTTTTTATTCTCTTCCCAGGATTTACATTTTACCAATCACCATATACCAATTGTTGTTTCTTTCTTTTGGGGAGAAAAAGGGCAGGGTCTCATGAAGCCCAGGCTGGACTGGAACTCAACGTGTAGCTGAGGATAACCTTGAACTGCTGATTGTCCTGCTTTCACCATCCAAGTTCCACTGTTCTCACACAGTGTTTATACAGGGCTGAGAATTGAACCCAGGGCTTTGTACATGCTAGGCAAGCACTCTACCGACTGAGCTACACTCCCAACCCAATTAAAAGTTTTAATAATGAGTTTATGAATTTTTAAAATGAGCTTCTGTCTCTTCATCAGGAAAATGCGAGGCAGACATCAATTTTACAAGACTGTGGCGCTGATTAAATGTATCAGTCTCAGAGATCTGTCCCAAGACGTGCAGGCCTTCATTCATTATATTATCCTCCTCTCTGCCTCTGAAAATGTACTGGGGCAAGGGCCAGGGGCCAGGCCTCATAGCTCAGGCTTAAAGGCTAAGGCGGTGCCATAAGAAACACTTTCCAAGCCGGGTAACCCCTGGTGAACAGGACCCCTTGCAGGCCTGTGAGGGGATGCGTGGGGAAGCTAGTCTTCTGTGTCTGATCTCCACCACGGTCTTCTGAAAGCTTAGGCGTCTTCTTTCTGCCCAGCTCCGCCCCTCCAAACTGTACGCTTGCTTTCTGCTCTGGGTCCCAGCAGCAGGGCTTGAGTCTCTCTGCCCTCTAGTGATAATCCTCCACCAAAGCCCTGGCAGGTCTCCTGACTCATATATGCCCCACCAGAAGCCAGGGACATAAAAAACAAGGCTGACGTCATTCACAATGGATGCACCAGGCCCTCCTTTCACATCTCTGCTTTGGATCAGCTCACCAAGTCCCAACCTAACTCTTCAGAGTCTGGCAACAGACCCTTCGAATGACTGTAACAAAGATATCTTAACCACTTCCCAAGGAAATAAAAGGTCAGAAGCCCACCTGGGGCCTCCCTAGGACCAGCTCTGGCAGGCTACTTTGGGAAATACCCTGCTCCAGGCAGATATCCATTTCCTCTTTCCTCATTCTACAGTTGCAGTATCCTCCCTCCATGCCCAGAGGGAGGTGGGCAGCTTGGCACACACCCACTGGTGGCTCATAATGAGCAAGGCTCCTCTTGTGAACATCAGCAGCTCTTCCTTCTCCAAAACCATTCACTCTGTTCTTGCTTGTGTCCTGGCCATGACCAAGGCCATTTTGGGAACACATTTGGCCTCAGAAACCTCATTGCCACTCACTCATACACATCACAGAAGCTCCCACCTCTAACATCCAGGGGTTCCCAGCACCTCATCAGGCCTGTGCATTCTCTTCCCCAGAACTCCTGGATGTTACTCAAGAGCTGGTAGCTAGGGCAGCGTAGGGCAGGGAAAGGGGCCAAAGCCATCTCCACACCCAGCCTGAGCCTGGTTTCAGGAAATGTGGCTCCATACCTTCCACTCTACTCAACTCACCCTGGGCTGACCCAGACACGCCCTCTTGAGTCCATACCTCCAGCTAGGAAGTCATGGGTCAACATCAGGAACCTAGGCGACCTTCCCAAAGCCAGGGTCTACGCCTGTTCCGAGGACGTAGACACCTTTCCTTCCACGGCCTCCTTTCTTAGGTAAGAAACTGAGGATGCACCAGGGAGGAGTGCAGAGAATGGGGCCAGCCCGTGGTGCTCGTCTCCCAGCAGTCACTGCTTCGCCTCCTACATCTCGCCTTACTGTCTCGCTTCTCACAGGTAGGCTCTGGCTTGCTTCCTCTGCTGAAACACCCTCCAAGCTTTCTGCTCCCCCAACATTAGCAGATGTTCAGTAAGCCCTCGTGACTTCTCCCTCTTCAGGGCATCTCAAAGCGTACCAAGGCACAAGAAGGGCTGAGATGCCAGTGTGATGCCAGTTCACGTATGAACACTATTAGCTCAGCCCTTCTCTACCATGACCCTGGTTGGCTCTCTGGGCACCTTAGGTACTGACCTCCTAGTATCCCAGTATAGAAGCCATTTGATCAAAGTCCTCAAAGTTCTCAGGGCTCAGACTCTTCCTACTCTCTCTGTTTCTTCTGCCTAGTCCTGGCTGTACCAACAAGCCACCGTTTACAACATAAAGATCCAGCGGCCTCAGCCCTGCCACACACTGCTCAGGAACATGCTCATGCACATACACAGAGGCACGGATATTAATTAGTCCTGGATCCATGCACGCGCACATGAACAAAATAAGGTCCAGGGCCTGCTGCCTTGCACCTTCTCTTCCTCTTTATTCTCTGACCAGAGGCTGCTTTGCTAGGTGGAGAGAGTTCCCAGGAATCCTAGCTTCCTCTGGCCACTTTCAAGAACTGCTCCCAGCATCCCTCTGAGCCCAGAGTTCACAGCGTGGGTCTACAACTTGGAGGGTATACAGCCATATGAGTGGCAGCCTGTAGTTCTCTTCCTGATTCCAGCCTGGCACGAGGCACGCAGTAGGTGCCTCAAGTGACCGCAAGCTAGCAAAAGTGCAAAGAAACTGCCCAGAGAGGCCAATGGGAAAAAAAAAAAAAAAAAAAAAGAGTACACAGTAGGTGAGTGGAGAAACTCGGAGCCAGCATAGAACACACAGTGGGTGCCCTAGGAATACAGGCTTAAAGGCTAGGATTGATCTACACAAAAGACTTCCCAAACTGGGCGACACTGATGAACAAGACCCCTTGGAGGCCAGCAAGGGGCATAGTGGGAGTGCCTTAGGCAGCTCTAGCTGGCTCACTCTCCTCCTTGGCTAAAGAAAGACTATTTATAGTCCTCCCACCTTGGTCCAGGCCCCTCTTCCCTACAAGGCCCCAGTTTTCCCTCCCCTTCAGGCCACTGACAGATTGATGCCCTTTCAGGCTACTCTGAGAGACCCCCAACACCCCTGGGCTTCCTGCAACACCATCTTCACAACATCCCAGATCTTTTCCAATGTCCACCCTCCCCACGCTACCCAGTGCCTACCCTGGCCGTGGTTCTCCTGCCCAGGGTCGGTTAGAGAGGTGCCTCCTGTTGTACCTCTGTCCATCATGCTACCGAACCAGGGCCGCCGCCCCCTCGTGCCCCCCTAACCCCCACGGCTCTGCAAGGGTAAGAAAACCCCGCCCCGCAGGCTCAGAGGGAAACGCCCCGCCTCTCCAACCGCCCCAGACCCGCCCTCCCCTACCCAGGGCTGATTTGCTCCTTGAGGTTGCCAGGCCCCATCCAGGCAAGCAGCTGCGCTCGGCACGCTGGCCGGTAGCGCTTTTTTCCAGTCCGAGCTGCCCATACCTCTCAGGGGCTGTCTTCTCTCCTTCATGAGTTCTCTACACCACTGGGAGCACCTGCCTTACCCACAGGCGAACAGGATCACACCTCGCAGAAAGTCAGTCTCAGCCCTGGCTGACCAGGGCATGTGAAGGAGGTGAAGCCTACTCTTTTCGAAGTGTGCAGGTCAGAGGGTAGGGAGGGAAGGTGAATGGAAGGGCAGGGAAGCTAGGTATGACTCAGTCCTCATATGCCACTGCCTGGGTGCACATGACTGGGTGATCTGGGTGCTTCCCATCTTTCAGTCATCTGACGTTTATTATACGAGTGCCTCCGGCAGCCACAACCTTCATGTACACGCTGTCACTGGGTGCCGCAAGAAGCTGGTGGCATCACTCTGCTTTACAGTGGAGGGAACTGGGGCTCGGAAGATGCAAACACCTATGCTTAGGACAATTCATGAAGGAAGGCCCAGAGTCGGCTGGGAGCCCTGGCAGTACCCACGCCCTCCACCCTGAGCCATGTGCGTCCATGGACCTAGCGGGGGTGCTGAGGTGTGGCTAGGACAATGCTCGGCTGTGTGTATTTTGTGTAGATTTGGGAGTCAAGCACCCTCTATTCTATTTCCAACATTTGCTCACACACACAGCTGTCAGAGAGTCTCATATCAAGCAGGGACTCAGCATGTACACACACAGGCAAAACTACCAGGGCCAGATTTCCTGTGTAACCATCTGTGCCGGTGCCTGGAGATGTCTCTGATAAGAACATCTAAGTGAGTGGGTGCTGCCAAACAGAACACAAAACCAGCATGTCCTCAGGTGTGACGACACAGGCTTGTAACGCTGACACACAGAAGGCAGAGGCAGAAGGATTGCTACTAGCAAGTTCTAGCACATGCAAAGTTTCCATTGCAAGACTGTCTTGAAAAACAAAAACAAAACCACAGGACAAGCTTTGACATCACTCTCTGGTGAAGCAGCCCCAGGTGGGGGAGGGGCCCGGGCCTGTGGCTGTAGATGGCTTTCAGGTACAGCACTGAGATCCTGGCTTGATTCTCCTTAACATTTAGTGATGGAGTTTTACATGGTGGCATCAAGATGCTCTGTGCCTGCCAGGCACAGTCATATACAACAAGATTCCATGTAGTAAACATACATGCTAGTGTCCAGGATGCCCAAACAGTTAAGTGTGAGGGGCACAGAGCATGGTAAGACACTATATGGCTGCACAGACATACTGCAGATTCCCAGAAGCTATGGCAGTGGTCCACGATGGTGAGGCCTGGCTGTGTGCTCTGCCTAGATGCAATACTGTCCAGCTTTGCTGCTGTCCTCCAGGACTTGTCATCCAGAGTCACCCCATCTTTGGGACCCCCTTCCTCAGTCTCAGCGGCGGCCAACACGGGCTAGTATTCGGGCATTGGTGGCAGCCTGATCCCTGGCAGCCTTGTTCCGGGCCTGCTCCAGTAAGATCCGCAGGAGGCCAATGGGGACATCCAGTGAGAGTGTGATCTGTGTGTCCCGGTGAGGGTTGGCTTTAGAGTTGCTCCAGGAAGCTGAGGGCCCTGTGGCAGTGGCTGAAGGGCTCTCTGGAGCCACAGAGCAGGGAGTTGTCTCCAGATATTTCTGAGAAAGGAGCTGGAAGGTGGGGATGGGGGTCCCTGGGACAAACAGGACCCTACCCAACATCAGGACCATGAACATCACCATTGCCCACCTGGTCATCATGTGGTAAGGCTGTAAGGAGAAAAGAGGCTCAGGGTCTGGGCTCTGCAGCTGCGGTTCATTGGAAGGAGACAGACTGCAAGAGACAAGGAGGGGCTGGAGAGTTTAAAGAGGCCAGCCAGGGACAGAGATACAGAATCAACGTTGAAGAAAGCCAAGACAGGACCAGGCAGAGGCAGGAGCCAGACAGAAAGAGTGAAAACATGGACTTGGGCATGGTGGCATATGTCTATAATCCCGGCACTTGGGAGGCTGAGACAGGACCTGAGTTTGAAGCCAGACTGGGTTACATAATGAGACCCTGTCTAAAGACCTCCAAAGGTAACAGAATGAGAACAACTGGGACTAAGGACACAGCGACACCCAGAGGCAGAGAAAGAAAGGGATTGGAAGGGGAGGAGCATAAGAGGAAGAGAGGAAGATGGATGGGATGGAGACAAAGCAAGATAGGGGAAGACAAGAAAGAAGACAAGGCAGAAAGAGGTAAACCATCCAGGAGGCAGCTAGATGGAAACAAAGATTCAGAAACAGATGACCCCACAGTGACAAAATGGAGACAGGTTCTGAGCTAATTAAGGAAGGACAGCAATGGGGACAAAGAGGGCAGATGAAGTAGACAGAGCAACCAGAGACCCCAGAGTCTCCCAGGTTCGGGGGTCTCCATTCACCTAAAGCCCAGGCCCCCTCAACCCCAGACCCTTCCCATCCCGACCCAATGCCACTCATACCACAATGCCAGCTTCCTCAGGGGTCGTCTGGGGCTGCTGGGGCTGCTGGGGTTGCTGAGACTAGGGCCACACAACACTGTCCTACGGCCTGATCCTTTACTCTACTTCAAGGCCCATTTATGTCCCCCAGCCTCCTGGGGTAGGAGCTAGGACATGTTTCCTGGCATGAGGCAGCCCCCCACTTATGACTCATCCCCTCCTAGGGAGCAGTAAGGACACCTCCTTAGTTTCCCCCCCATTTACTTCTTTTAAGGGGACAAGCTAGGGGACTAAGAACACAGAAAACTAACAAGGGGTAGGCATGAGAATTCTATATCATGCAATATGACGCTGACTACCCCTTCCCCAAGGGAAATTTGCCTCCTGATATTCCCATCTCACTCAAACAGTCCACAACAAGAGCCTTTTAAAACAGCAGCTTTAATGACTCCCCCACCCCACCCCGAATCAGCACCATGGCATCACAGCCTTGGGTCAAGGGGCAGGTTGGACACCAGTCACATCCATTCACTACCCACAACCACCCCCAACAGTGAGTCATCTGCCAGGAAAGCAGGCGCCACAATGGGTATTTGTCCACAGGGGGGAAGGCTTGACCCACAGGACCAAGTCACTGAAACAGTGGACACGTGCACACACACGCACGCACACACACAACTCTAGCACCAAGTGGAGAAGAGCAGGACCCTGCCGAGCCCTGCCACCTCCTGGGACTGCTGACCATCAAGCACGCCGTCCGGACCTCAGCCCTAGGCAGCACCTGTGTGGAGCACATCAGAAAACATTCAGCCCCCTGGACTTCTTTCCCAGCATAACGTCTGCATAAAAACATGGCAAAGCAGCCATGAGCGATGGAGTATGGGCTCTGACTCAGAGATGGACCACGAAGGCTCCACAGCTGGGGATATGTCACCAGTTCTTTGATCTGGGGTCTGCTCCAGGTCCCCAGTCCCTGGGAACTTCTTGGCCAGGCATATGTAGGTGCAGCCTTCACTGAGAGAATCTAGGCCCCTACCTGTTTTCTGGCTGTGGACCACTTGGGGTGGGCAGCGGCGCTCACACGCCTCACGGGTTCCAAATCGGTTGGCATTCCCTCCGCAGCCACCATAGACAAAGGGATGACAGGCCGTGCCACCTGGCACAGCCCGATGGTACCAGCGCAGAGTGTAGGCAGTACAGGAGCCCTCATCCAGTGGTAGGGAGCAGGGATCTAGTGTTAATGGTGGTGAAGTCATTGGGGATAATGGGATCAGAGGAATCAGAGATCACAAAAGATCAGCAGTGGGATGGGCTCTGTCTGGCACTACCTGAACCTCTCTGGTCCAAGCTCTTAATCTCGCCATCACCATCCCAAGGAACCTCAGGGTCCTGGTAGTCCTCCACAGAATACACTGAGTATTCAGAGAAGTCGTCATCATCTTCAGGGGGCACCTGGCCTGCAGGCAGGGAGGGGTATGCTGTGAGGAGACTCCTGCTGGCTCTGGGACAGGGCAGACAACATTCACCTTCCCCCCTACGCAAATCTGTGTGTGTGTCCTGTGTGCGAACTCCGCACACATGCCCTGCGCCCTGGTGCATGAAGAACCGTATGCGTATCTGTGCCCAGCCTGTACATGGCCCACGGGTTATCAGCCTCACCTTCCTCCTCTACATGAGAGACCCGGAGGACAGGCACACGGTGGGGCTGGGGGCCAGCTGTGTCCGCAGCATAACCAGGGAGGGGTCCTGCAGCACAGAGCAGAACAGCGGTGATGACACTGTCGGTATCACGCTCGGCCACCCTAGCTACACACACCCCCGCCGAGAGGACCCAAGTGATAGGCAGGGCAGCCGGTGCCTTGGATGGAGAAAGTTCTAGATACAGAAAGCTACTCACGTGATCCAGATGCAATAAACTGGCCCTGGCAGGCTGGAAGGAATAGAGAAAGTAGAATGAGATCATGAAAAATGGAGAAGAAACAAAAAGATGGGAAGATGGAGAAGGAAGAACGAACATACAGAAGACACGTGCATGGGGAAGGGGGTAAGATATACACAGAGACAGCAGGAGAGCCAGTGCGAGACAAAGGAGGAGAGAACATGTGAGAGGTGAAGAGGAGGAAGGAAGGAGAAAGACAAGAAGAAACAGTGGAAACGGACCAGGAGGGATGAGAAGTTAGGAATAGACCAGGGAAGCAAGGGCCAAAGGAAGTCGGGGGCAGGAGGCACAGACGTGAAAGCAGTTGTGACAGGAAGAAACAGGCCCCCAGAATCACCACTCTCCCACCTGTGTCCCAGCTGCCGCTGGGACCAGCTCTGCTCCCTACTCTACCCCTCCACACACAGAGTCATCAGAACACTATGCAGCCGACCACATCTGTCTGCCTCCCTCCATTAAGGAAGCCCCTGTTAACATGTTTGTCCTGTAGCATTTGAGGCGCACATAGCCATCAGTCTCCGCTTGCCCTCTGTAAGTTCTGGGGACCTGCCAGCCCCCATCTAGGTGTCCTGGGATGCAGTGGGGGGCAGGAGTCTCCACGCCAGATTCACTCACCACAGTGCTGACTCATTTCCTGACGCACGAAGCCCCGAATGTCATCCTCCTGGGAACACAAGACCACAAGGTCCCCAGGGAACCCATGAATCATGGGTCGCATAAATCAGGAATCAAAGACAAGTCGTATCAAGTCAAGGGCCCTGGGACGAGGGATCAGGGTGCTGGGTGCTCCATCCCACCCAGGTTAAACTCACAGTCAGCGCAGGGTCGCCCTTCTCCCCACGGGGGCCAGCAGGTCCTGGTCGCCCCTGCGTGCAGCATATGTGACCAGGTTGTGACAGATCTCAGACACCAGAGATCATGCTAATCTCTGACTCCAAGCCCAGGAAGCCACACTCACCTGCTCCCCTCTCTCACCGGGGGTGCCGGGAGCACCAGGAGCCCCCGCCACGCTTTCTCCAGGGGGACCTCGCTCACCCTGTCAGACACAAGGACCAAGTTGGCAGGGTCAGTGACAGTTTGGGTCAGAATACAGGCAAGTGGAGGACCATGGCTTCAGAGGTTGGAGCATGGAGACCTGAGCATGGGCTGTAGGTTCAAGATTTAGAGAGGCAGGAAAGGTAGGGTGCCGGGAGCCTAGCTCAGCAATACAGCCCTTGAGTAGCATGTGTGGGGCTCTGGAATTAACTCTCAGCTCTACTAAAAACAAACAAACAAGCAAAACAAAAACCAAGAAAGCCAGGCTGGAGATGCTCCTGGTGACCCAGGCTTGGTCGCCAGCACCCACGTGACAGCTCCCAATCATCTGCAATTCCAGTACCCCAGGACTGATGCCTCTCTGGTCTTCTCAGGCACCAGGCACACATACATGTGGAAGACATGTGTTCAGACAAAATATTCATACACATGGAATGAAGAATAAGATGTTTCCGGGCGTGGTGGCACAAGCCACTAATTCTAGCACTTGGGGAAGCAGAGGCAGGCAGATCGCTGTGAGTTCGAGGCCAGCCTGATCTACAAAGTGAGTCCAGGACAGCCAGGGCTACACAGAGAATCCCTGCCTCCAAAATAAACAAACAACAAAAAGTACCTGGGAGGCAGAGGTGAGCAAAACTCTGAATTTGAGGGTAGCCTGGTCTACATAGAGAGTTCCAACCCCCCCGGGGCTACATAGTAAGACCCTGTCTAAAATCAAAAGCAGGAAGGGTAGGGACAAGGGACTGGTAGCACAGCTAGGGATCCTTACCTTCTGACCCTGGAGTCCTTCAGGGCCTTTGGGACCAACACCACCGGGTGGCCCGGGGGGACCACTAGAGCCATCATTCCCTCTGGGACCTGGGAAGCCCGCAACTCCTGGGGGCCCCTGTAGAAAGATAGAAAAGGGTTGGTGATTAAAACCCCTTCAAGATGAAACCACTACCAAAGACAATGCTCCCCTCAGATCACAAACCCTGACCTCAACTTACCCTCTCTCCTTTCTCGCCTTGGTCACCCTTGGGCCCTGACTGCCCATCAAAGCCTCTGTCACCCTGGAAACAGAAGAAGCAGGAAATATCTTCAGTGCTGCCACCCCTCTGCTCTTGTATGTCTCTGAGCTTTGTGAGCCTCCTGGCCCAACGCCCTCTACGGTGTATGAGCCAAGTGTCTGCTATTGCCCCAACTATGATCCCATGACACCAGCTCTACCCAAGCCCTGTCCTGATACAACACGACTCCCTCCTTCTCCTTCTACCCTTTCACTCTCTCTACTGTGACCCCAACCTCTCCTGGAATCTCAAAAGCAGCCACACAGGATCCCC